TTCATTTTTCTGATTGTGAATAAGAATTTGAAAATTAGCTCAAGAGTAACATATGGAGCTGCTGCCTGTAACCGTTAGGTGGGAACCACCGGCTACTCCACAGGAAAAGGATGAGGCCTTCAACTCATGCAAAGAGTTACAGTAATGGAAACCCATCAAATCAAAACTGGCTTACTGGACAGAGTAGAATTTCCCCTGTGGCTCTCCAAGACTGTGTATTTCTCTGGAAGTCAAGAGCCTCATCTTTCACTCTCCAGTCAGGTAGTAGTTTTGAACTGCTGACCTCATGGTTAGCACCCTAACGCATAATCCACTGTTCCAACAAGGCTCCTTTAAAGCCATTAAAATACTGCCCTTATATGTAGAAAAGTCTACTTGCAATTTCTTACATTGCAGTCACTCCTTTATCTGAGGTCTGATGATAGCAGTAATAATAGTGAAGATAAGGATTTTGTTCTAAACCAGCTCATCTTCTCTCCAAGACCAAATCAACTTCTAACTTCTTTGTTTAAGGTTACACTTTCAAATCTGATCCGGTGTTTTGTGGGAGAAACCTGCCTGATAGGGTTGCTATGAGTTTGCAAATACTCAATGGCAATGGCTTTTTGTCTGTCTGTTTTGTTTTAATCAGGTACTAAATACTGGAGAGTCCACCCTCCCTCTCCATTTCCAGCTGCACCAAAGGGGTCCTGGCTTTCTCTGTAATACGGCACCGCACCGAGCTTATCCGGCTCTGTAGCTTGAAGGGCCACACTCCACTCCCGGCTGGTTTGGCTGTACCCCTTAACAATCCTCCAAGCATGAGTCAAGCCTACAATCAACCTTGTATTCTCAGATTTCTAGATAAATTCTGCCTATCTTTGCAAATATGGAGCAGGTGCAAAGTCATAAATTCTAATCTCACTTAAATTACAGGCCACCACATTCATCAGTTCTTTTATCTGCTTTGATTTTCAGATCCATATTCTATTACCCTGAGAAATTACTTCACACTGTTGGCAAATGCCTCAAATTTATTCATTTCCTGCTCCTCTCCAAAGAATATAGCATCATATCTTATGAAGAAATTAATTCAAGAACTTTCTTTTGCCTTCTGAGTGTACTGCTCCTATCCCTATCACAAAACAAACTCTTTTCAAGTATCTGTCTACCCCTTATTCTTCTGTTCCGATCTTACGTTAGAGTAAGATTTGACCTTCAATTCAGGGCCAAGCCCTTCATTTGCAGGGAACCCAAAACCATCTTTTCAAATTTCCCCTAGGATTTTATTTCATCCATGGCCCTCTGTACTATACATTTCAACTTAAGAACAGTTTAAAGACTGTCTTCTCTTCCAAAAATTCCGTTAACCTTGACTTAAGTCTAATGTTAAGCTAGAGTGTAAATTTAATAAGAGTTAGGTTTTCAGGAGGCAAAGGACATTTATAGAGGCCTAAATACAGGCATGTACATATATATATATGTGTGTGTGTGTGTGTAATGAGAGGGGAATAGAACTATGTATTCATATTTATGTTAAGAATTAAGGTTACAGATGGACATTGGGCCTCAATTCAAGAGGCCTTAACACAAGAACACTTTGTTCTAACAATCTGGCATTCTGTTATGCTCACCTTCCCGATACAATAGCTGACGACAAAATGGGTGCATAAGCAAATGTGGTGAAGAAAGCTGATGGTGCCTGCCTATCAAAAGATATACTGTCTGGGGTCTAAGAGGGTTGAAGGTAAACAAGCAGCCATCTAGCTCAGAAGCAACAAAGTCCACATGGAAGAAGCATACCAGCCTATGTGATCATGAGGTGTCGATGGGATCAGGTTTCAGGCATCTAAGACCCAGAATGGGGGTGGGGCATGAAATGGAGACCCAATGCCCATCTATAGACAATTGGAGACATCCCCT